CCAATTAGTTTACAAATTACAAATTTAATAAAAGAAATGTCTTTTGATGCATTTTTAGATATGCTATCATATATATATGTAGTACTACTTGAAGGCATAAAGAAAATAGTAATTTACAATGAGCTATTCTCTACAATTTTGACTGATACTCAAAATAATAATCTAGAGTTTCATTCTGATAAAATTCCGCTTGAGAATGAAAAAGGTTTATCCAACAAAAATTCACAGGTTGATGATAACAGCAATTCAAAAGAATCAACAGAAATTGAAACTCCAACTATCGAAACTCATGTCGAATCGGGAAATTCAAAAATTAGTACTGCTTCAAAATTTACTACCGGAATAAAATCTATAATTAAAAGGACAACATTTTTTACAACTAAGTCACAGGCATCTCTACCAGAAATAACTCCTAAAGTTTCAGAATCTACGTCACCTAATTCCCAAACAAATGAAACATTAGATTATAATAGCCATTACGCGACTGATCTTTCACAAATAATACTTACAGTAACAGACTTGGCTCATGTGTGGTGTGCTAACCTGATCTCAATTCGTGCAGACCAAAGTGTACAGCTAAATAAAAAGGGCTTTTATCGATTATTTAATGTAACATGGACGTTTGTATCAGAATGTGAAAGTTTATGCGGTCGTGCATGTTACGGTCTTCGAGGAACTATTATTTCACAAGTAATAATGAATAATAATACTTTTTACGCTTTTCTATTTCTTTGTGTCATTTTTTTTATTTTTTTTTTATTTTTTTATTTTAGGCCAAAGCATTTTTAAATTATTTTCATACTGAAAAAATAAAACAAGAGGCAGCATCAGTTGAAAGCGAACAATGGACACAAGCTGAGGTACCTATTGACTTTCAGCAAGCTGTAAACCGAATTGTAGCTGCTGCTGTAAACGGATTATCTGACTTTAGGTGTAATCCACTTGACTATAAAAATGACAATGAGCAAACTGAGCAAACTGATCAAAATAAGTCGGATGTAAAACTAAATAATAACAAATATATATTTGTGGAGGAACGGCGATTTTTCATGGTTGGTTGTAGTTTAGTGCTCCTTAAAATAATTGATGATTATTTAGGTTATATGGCCAATATTCCTCCACTGAGCACCGAGACGATAAATAAAATTATAGAAATCTTAAATGTTGGTGTTAAATTATATTTTACTGAAATTTATCTCCGAACGATCCATATTAATTTGCTTCGATTCATTCAGTTATTTAACTCAAGAACTTGTCAAGTGATTTTGGGAGGCGGTGCTAGACATTCGGCAGGATTAAAAATCATCACCGCCAAACATTTAGGTATGTGATTAGTTTATGACCCTTAATTTAATGACCAAGCCTATTCTAATTTGCAGTTTTACTATTTTCCTTCCATTATTAGCGCTTGCATCTCAATCACTTGGTGCTATCATTACACTAATCCCGTTTATTCGTGAATGCATCCGAAATAACCTTAGTGATAAACAAATGATAATGCTAACGGAGTTTGATCGGATTAAAAGGGTAAAGTTTATTCATAAGTATTCAAATATTGTCATATTAAGTGTAATACTACATATATTTGTTTTCATAGGATTATATAAACCATCAAAGTGAGGTGCATACTAAACTGGTATCTATAATGGATGCACGCCTACTAATTCATCTTAAATCTTTTGAGGTAACATCATCAACTCTATTTTATTATCGCGAGTCTTTACAAATACTAATATAATCTAATTTCTTAGTCAATAATGTGGGATGAGTCTAATACAAAAGATAGACCAAGCTCTTATATAGAATTGTTGGTAAAGGAGATTATTAAATTTCATAATGTCTTAAACAAAATTTTGCCACAGGAAATTTTACAGGTATTTTTTAGAAACTTTAATGAGTTTATAATGATGGATTTTTATTAATATATTACATAATTTATTAGAAAATAATGTCAGATGTACTCAAATCATCGAGTTCAAAACTTGCGGAAGAAATTGCTAAAGTGAACATTTATACGCCTGCCGGAAAAGAGCGGTATTGATTAATTGTTAAAATCTGAATATAAATTCCGTTAACTAACTGTAGATTTCTCCATTAACTAACTGTAAATTTTTTTTCTCCATTAACAACTTAACTTAAATCCGACTCAAATTACCAAATATAAAACTTTTTACTTAACCAACTCGTTACATTTTTATCCATTCAAAGAATTATTCAAGATGTACGATTTTATACTCGTAAACTATCGGCTTTAAATCTTCACGAGCTAACTAATGAATTAGAAAACGTAGTTAATAATTTACAAGTTAAAGAAAAGAAATCGGACGGAGATGAAAACGTTGAGTTAACCTCATCCTCTACATAGTTAATACCGGTAATTTCTGTTGTAATCCGCTAGTTTTTGGTTATAATTTAATCACAAATTTTGCAATTGCAAGAGAATTCCATAAAAGTATCAAAATTTTCTTATTATTCTATAAAACTTAATCCTTCCCCTTCCTTAGGAAATATGTTATGTTGTTCTAAATATTCATCATTCCTTATAATTTGAAATTTATGAAAATGTCAGCTACTAGAATTTCATTTATTTTTAAGTAGATGATGCCACTTACCAAAATTTTGTTAGATGCTATTTCGTATTTAATTGTTTCATAATGCCATAAAAAATTTAAGTCGGTCAAAAAAGCAGATTCAAAGTTAATATCTTTTTGTTTTTCTTTTTTTTTTTAAAAAAAAAAAAGTATTATTTCACAAATGTTGCTGAAATTTTTGTATGATGCTTAAATTAATCGATTGGGATAAAGAAACTGATAACCAATAAGATAATTTAATTACAACAACATCCAAATTTTCAATACCATTCGTGACATTTATTATTATAAACATACATACACGTTGACCTGAATCGCATAAAATAGTAACAATACGATTTCCTGGGCCCAGTCGTTTAGCAACACGCACACAGCCAACACAATTGATTGCTGACGAACTTCCGACGAAAAGCCCTAGATAGAATGCCCGCATATTGCATTATTAGTAGAAGAAAAGTCATTGACCGTCTTCGTTTAGTAACTAACCTTCCTCCCGAACCAAATATCTTGCCATTGCGACAGCCTCTTCATCGCTAACACGTATCGCATCATCGATTAATCCATGTGCAGTATTAAAATTTTCAGTCATACGATTTAAACCAACACCCTCTATAATAGTATCAACTTGATGTCTACGTCGTGTGCCCTCAGCTTCATATGGTGAATACATAATATTATATTTTACCTTATTATACAAGCCAGAGCCAGGCGGATCAACAAGAAATACTTTTAGGGAAGGTATAAGTGGTTTAAGATAACGTGATATTCCAGAAATAGTACCACCAGTACCTAAAATAGAGCACAAGTATTACTTATCTGATTTAATAATATTTTAACAGTTTTTTAATATTAAAGAACGGGTTACAATTGCATACCAGCTCCGGCAACAAATGCATCGATTTTGCCATTAGTTTGCTTAAATATTTCGGGTCCTGTTCCGAAATAATGTGCTTCAGCATTTGACAAATTTTCGAATTGGTTGGCAAAGAAACCTGCCTTTCCAGAATTATCTTCCACAACGCCTTGTTGAAGATTTTGTTGTTTTCCGAATTGTTCAGCCCGAATTTTAGCTAAGTTGACAAATTGCTGTTTATCAACAATACTTGCGGGCCTTACTTTTTCAACTGTCACACCTAATTTTTCTAGCAATTGATATTTTTCCTTCGCTTGATCATCTGGCATTACAATCCATGCATTGTAGCCTTTAGCACGAGAAATAATTGCGATAGATATCCCTGTGGAACCAGATGTTCCCTCAAAAATTGTGCACCCAGAATTTGGGCTTATCAAACCTTGTTCTTCAGCTTTTTCTATTATATTGAGAGCAACTCGATCTTTCAAGCTACCTCCGGGATTTAAAAACTTTATGATATAAAATCGTTAACTTATGTTAAATTATGTTAATAATAAAGAATGTTTCTAAACTACCTCAACTTTTGCCTAAGGAATATTATGTAAATTAAGTTTAATATCTGATATTATAAAGACACATGAACGTTATAATTTGTTTACCAATATATCACAGCCTGTCGCTTCGCTTAAACTCTTGATCCTCATAAGTGGTGTATTACCAACTAACCCCAAGACCCCATCAACAATATCGTCAGTTTTTGTATAATTAATATCAGATCCATCTTTTTTTTTTTTAAACCAGTTTAATAATGAATTCGTAGAAATCGTAAGAGCAACGCCCACTATTAAACCGAAAAAAAGAGTAGTAGTCTGTAAAGGCTGCTTGAAAGCTCCGTCAAATAACATGATATAACTCAAAAACTATAAGTTGAAATAGCGATAGCGATAGTGAAATTGTAAAAAACCAGTAGCGTTAAAATCATGTGGTTTTGAAGTTCTAGATTGACC